GATGCTGCTCGAGCTGAGGTAGTCATGTCAGCACACTCGAGAGACGTGTGACTGATACGGGTAGTCATAGTTCATCATCAGCTAACAAGACAGTTTCCAGTACAACATCAAATGCTGTCCAGATGCCCAGTCATTCAACAAATGGTCTAATTTGGATAGGTCGAAACAAGAGAAGCTGAAAGGAACCTCAAGCAATCCCGTAGACGAGGCCAAGATGGCAGATGGTGTATTGATGAAGAAAAAGGTAAAGAGGAAGCCAGAATTGGAGTTGGAAGAATCTCATTTCCGTCCAGCGAAATTGACTGCCCAATCAGGGGAAGAAATGCACAAGCCCATGAAGCAGGATGCACCTTTTCCACAAAGATCAAATCTTCAGTTGACTGCTTTCAATCCATCAAGCTGACATAATCTAATTCACTTCAAGGAAGCTTACACCACAATATTATCTGTGTAGCTCAGGTCTTTCTTCTCCCTTCCTTCCATTCATTCTGGTTGACTGATGGCTACTATATCAGTTTACCAGTTTTGTAATTACACACGATAAGGGGGTGCTTCTTCGAGAAAATTTTAGGAAATGGGAGAGCAGAAGGCTGTAATATTCTCGTGCAAGGTTTATGCATGACTTGAAGGTGGAAGTTTGTATTTTCTTTTTCTATTTCACCTCGTGAATCATCATTACATATGCTTCTCCCTTGATGGTGTTGTAGCTGCGTCAGTGGAAGTGATGTTTTTGGTCGGGCAGCAAAAAAGATAGGAACATAAATGGTTTGGTTTGAGCTTGGTGTCGTTAACACCATTTTAACTGAAATCTCCATAGTCATCTAGCTATTTTACATCTGCCATCATTGAGTTATTATTATGGAGTTTGTTGTGCCGGCATAGTCTGCTTCTCGCGGGTGCTATTATATTATTCTATCTTGTGATGCATCTCTGATTCACTGCAAGTGAGTTTAAAGAAGAGAGAACAGTGGTTAATTCGGGCTGCGCAGAGAAAAAAATTATGTTTGAGGGTGCAATGGGTTTGATGTTTCGCAAAATGTATCTTACTTGATTCGTTTATGTACATTTTATTGGTTCTCTGTCTTACCGGTTCTCCTTCACTCCATTCCTTCATGGTTGCAGCTTTTCTACATTTGCTCTCTCTCGCTCTCTCTCTCCCTCCTTTTGAATGATGCATTTGGCAGCAACTATAATTTCCGTTATAATGTTTGAATAATTTGTCAAGTAAAATTACTTTTAATTCAAAGTTGTTTGGTAAAAATAACAGCAAAAAAAGTTATTTTTAAAAATTGTAAAAACTGAGTATTTACTTGAAATAATTGTTGATATTAAAATTGTTAAAAGAACATAAAAAGATGATAAATCAAAATAAAAGTACATTCAGCAAAATTTTTATATGATAATATTAAATATATTAAAAAAATAAAATTTAATTTATCAACACTCACCTTTTTAGATTCAAGGCTCACTCTATGGGTTGATTCATGCATAAAAAATTGTTAGTCGAGAGTTTGATTAAGCCGACGCATCTCTTAAAAGATAACGTATGCGTCCTAAAATGAGTTCAACGAGGACAAAGAATTCGTATGGAACAAAAGAGTAAAAACTTATTTAATTCTGATTTCTAATACAAATACAAATTATCAAAGTGTGATCTGTCAATCATTTAGACATTTCAAATTTCAGGTATCAAAAAAGTTACCACAAGAATAACTAGTTTGTGGCAATCCATCATTCATAGGAATATTATTTTTTGGTTTTTCAACATCGACTCTTTCTATCATCGTAAAACAAATTTTATCGAAATAGTAGATTGTTCACACATCAATAGAAAATGTAAATTGTATTTATACCATTAATAGAGAAGTTAATTTTATCCTAATAATATTCATCTTATAATTATAATTCAACCTAATATGCAACGAATATTTATTCACACAATTGATAATTGTGTTTAGTTGAAAAACTAGTTGTACGAAATTACTATGCAATGGATTATGACTTAACGTCCTTAAATTAATATCTAACCTAGACGCAATCCAAACACCCACTACCTCATTATTGACCCTTAATAAAGGCTTCCCAACTTCCAGAAACATGTATCGTTTGCTAAACTTGTACGAGAGAAGTGTTGTGTTGGTCACTTTGAAATACAATTTTCACTTAAAGACGTATAGAATCCTTTAGAGATGATTTAAATATGCAATGGGATATTAAGATTCAATCATTTGTTGCACTGATTTGTCCCTCCATTTTCCCTCCCAATACATCTTCATTCCCGCATGGAGTCCAAAGGTTGGCCAATGCAGCAAAGAGGGTTGGCCCCTCTCGCTCCACCAAGTCCTCAAGTCCTTAGAAAATATGTCCTTTTAAGTCTAAATCTTCACATTGAACTCTATATTCTATAAGTTTCACATTCTCTTCTTTTCCTTCGCTTATTCAGCCCATCTAGTTTCGAAAATGCTGCTCAAGTCGAATCCTATGCAAGTGCATGGCAAGCATGCAAGTTGGATTAGTGTACACAAGTAGGGGTGTGCATTAGGCTGTCGCATGCATTCATATGCTACACATTGGATTGCAATGCGCAGGCATCCCCCGCTAACACTGGGTTGCCTCCCACAGGGATGCTGCATGCTAGTTGCCCATGCCAGTACCATATTATGCTAAAAATGTGGCATTTTTATGAAGTGAGTTTTTTACCCCTTTATATTATACAGAAAATATGTTTCTTTGGGTGTTTAGCCGATGCTTTTTGGCTTCTTAATCACTTTTTGAAATGAGATTTTTCCACCCAGTATGATGCCAAATTCATTTAATTAGTCATAGGTGTGCCCATGGCCTTTAGGCCTTGAAGTTGCTCACCACATGCTTATGGCCATTTAATTTGGAGGATAATTTGTTTTGTTGATAAAATGTACGTCTAAAACTTTGGATATTGAAGATTGTTTGCTACAACATATCTTGACATTCTTGAAGTTTTCAGGGAATTTTATAACCTCAAATAATTTTTTACTAAATTTTTGTATTTTTTATTATTAAAAATTTAAAATATACATATATTTTTCTGTTGTCAAAAAAAAAAATTTCTTTTATGAAAGAAAACATTATTCTTTACATGTGTACGAAAAATAAAGTAAAACGAATAATATGAGAATGAGAGAGTTGTATGAAGAACATGCCAATGCACTACAAGAGATGATCCCTGGCAAAGAAAGTTGCTATCAAGCATTTAGTAGAAGGAAGAACATGCCATTACACAACAAAACCATATACAAATCACAGTACCAACTTTCACATGGTCAAAAGGAAATTCATATTCAAAAGTTCCAGAAACGATATATTGTCCTACCTCTTGTAGAATTCCAAGCTCAAATCTGCATTTCTTTGTTCCTTATGAATATGACCATTGTGAAACCTCCAATCTTCCTTTTCTTTTTTTGATCGATTAAAACCAATTTGAAACACTGAAGTCCCGCAACTTCCTAAGATGTTTCTCCATGTCTTCTCTGGTCTTCGCCCACTCTTCCCTCTCAATTACAGTCGTGGGATCATCTTTTTCACTCTAAAAGAATGGAATGTAATGGTGAATCAAGAGATGCATCCAAGATAGAATAATAGAACTGGATCGGAGATACTCACTGCATGAACAATTTTAAAGAAGGTTCCATTATTGCGTATCACAAGTAAATCACTTTTTCTGTCTCTATTTCTTCCTCCTGGAACTGTAACCTAAGAATGCAAAAAAGCAACAATGATATATATTATATATATACATATCTGAAAGTAAGCAGCCAATATCATCACATTCGCAAAAACACAAGCAGTTCAGGTTATCACAAAAAGGAAGACATTACGCAAGAATTTTTAATTATTAAATTAACAACTCTATGGGACAACCTACATGTACATTTTTTGGAGGCTTCAGTCTCATCAATCCAAGATGGGGAGTGCTGAGGAAGTTTATTGTAATATTACAGGCATGTTTCCTTATCATTCTTTCCACCAAAAACAAATGTTGAAGACTCACCACGAGCATAATGGTATAGCATCTAAAAATCCTAAGAGCAGAGTTGTATATGGTATATTATTTGAAGTTATCCAGTTTTTTTAAAGAAAAAGAGATTATTACTTAAAAAAGATAGATAAACCACAGTATAACCAACATCACAGGGGCATGTTTTTTTTGTAAGCCTTGAGGTGTGAAAAAAAAAAATCAAACCACAATATCCTTAGCAAAACCCACCTCAAAGATAGTTTGCTATAGAGAGAGATGTGCGGATTTGAAACTTGCAAATACAGCAGGCTTAAGCCAACTTTGTTTTTGAACATTTTGAGCTGAGCTCAGTTAGAGTTAGCTCAGGCTTGGGTTGACCGAGTTCTAAGCTAAGCCTTTTAGCTTCACTTGTATTATTGACCCAAACTTCAGCTTGTTGATATCAGTACAGAAACTTGTAAATGTAATTGTTTACATGATAAAAAAAACACTATATCATTTGTATACGTTAATAATTTAATAGTATATATACCATATTATTAATTTTAGAATATGCATAAACAGTTTAAAAAGGTACATGTGTTAATGTTGTGTTTACAAAATAATAAATAAATATCTAATAATTGAACTCAAGCTCGATTTC